CAGCTGGAATTGAACCGTCGACCTTGTCTGTGGAGGGAGGGGCGCCTAGACCACTAGGCTACGGGACCCCATCCCTTTAATATTAATAATTTAAAATTATTATTATTATTATTATTATTAGTATTATTTACAAATACTGGTGAATCTTCCAAAACCGATTTTGTAAAAATCGATAACCTGATAAATTTAATCAATACAGATACGAAACCTATCCATTATGCATATCGGGTTTGGAAGGTTTAACAGTAACAAAGTTTTTAGACCAGCTCAGATTTCTTTCATATCAATAGTTAACTGTATTAAAATAGTTTACCTGGTGAAGGTAATCCGTATTGGTTTGCGAAATTTGTAATAAATTTTAATACATGCAAAATAGTAGCAAAAGAAATTATATTGTTGCTGATTCGACCAGTAAGCGCATGAATTTTCGGTTTAAGTCCATGATCTTGATAATGCGTACGTAAAGTTTCCCACTTTGATTTACTTATTCCATGAATTGTTAACCAAGCCGTTTGGCAAATCGAAACTCCTGAAAGATTATAGTTCATTACTAAATATGATTTTGTTGTTTTCGATGCAGATTTGGTGATTTTAATGCTTCCGTCAATCATTCCTAAAAAACACAAATTCATTTCGGATTGCGACATTGCTTTAATTTCACGAAATCTATCAAGTGCTATTTGTGGACTAACTTTTGTTAAAAGACAATTTTGTTGGCAACAATTTTTTTGTTTAAGTTTTGTTAAAAATGCCTCATCGTCATATTTTTCTGAACATTGTTGTTGCTTAACGTTATATTCTGTAGAGTATTGTATTGGATTTTGAAAATATTTTTTTTGAAATTCTTTAATTTGCTGTAAAGTAAAATAATCGTCTAACTTATCACCAATATCATCTAATAGTAAATCCTCACTATCTGATATTGAATGTTGGTAATTATCCTCTTTATTATCCGATTCATTATCATCAGAATTATATTTTGACTGATAAGCCTCTTGTAACTGATTTAACTCATAGTTTAAATCTTTTACTTCGCTATGTATTTCTTCAAATATACTATTAAATAACGGATGCGTATTCATGTTTTAGAAGATGAATCTTATTATAAAATTAGATCTTTAAAGCAATAATATGTATTTAGAATGCAAATTACAGGTTTTCACCTGACATCACTCTAATAGTACATACATGCAGAAGTTCTACCCTACATGCATAGATTTAAACAATACCGATGCAATTACGATAAGAATTTATAAATATTTCAGGATTATTACAGGATTATATGATTTTTTTAAGTAGGACCCTTGCATCGCCAATCTAAAAAAATTTCGCTACTGGTATTATCGTTATGGGTGTATTTTGTTTTTGATTTTTATGTTACACCTTATTTTTAATTTAAATTTTTAGGTTGGTAACGCTAGTGTGGTTTACTTTAGGCATAATTTTGAAATAATACACCTGTTAAGAGGTTCAATTGTTGAAATAACTATTTATTATTATAAATTAATATTATTAATACGTATAACACTTTTTACTGTTAAGTTAGCTTAAATATAATCTCAATTCATATTTTTTTTTCTCTAATCTTACGATTTAATTAGCAATTATTATGCAATCGATAAATCCCCTTAGTTGACTACATTAACCGGTATTTTTCGGAGGCCTAGAGTTTATTGTACCCAGAGCACTAAAGATGGGTAAATTGTAAAATACCCGGGTATTACAGCTGTTTTCATAAATTCTGGGACATCTGGCAAAAAATTGACCGACCGAATATCTGCCGGTTCGATAAGTTTTTGATTCTCAGTGATAAACTACTGATTCGGGTGTGATTACAGCAATGAATCAAAACTTATCGAATCGGCAAATATTTGGTCGGTCAATTTTTTGCCAGATGTCCCAGAATTTATGAAAATAGCTGTAAAGATGAATAACTTGTACTTGGAATATAAAAATATACAACCTATACCCCCCTACGCTAGCCATAGATCTCTCTGACTACAATACCCGTATATGCTAACTAGCTTGTAAAGTATCCTGGGTAGTTTGACACTTAACTTTATAAATTTATATCTAGAACACACGATCTATTTACGAAAAAGACAAAAAAAGAAATTTATATGGATAAGATAAAGTTCAATGAGTCAAGCAAATTAATCTAATAAATTGCTTGATCAATTTATGTTACACGATTTAGGTTACACAAAGTCCATGTCAGTAGAAACCAAGCAAATTTATTAGATAAATTTGCTTGGTTTCTACTGACCAATCTATGTTACACGATTTATGTTGCACAAAACCCGATTAGCTGAATAAATCCGGATGTCGATCATTGTTTATCCGGATGCCGATTATTGTTTATCCGGATGTCAATCATTGTTTTGTTAGTTTGTGTAACCAAACACAAAAGTCACATTATCTCAAAAACTTAAATTTGTCGATTTGCTTGGTTTCTACTGGCACCCCATATGTTTATAATATTGCTATCAGATATGAGACATGTTCTCTTATAGGGGGTTCAAAATATTGTCAAATATAAATCAAATGAGTTGACTTACCCAAATTTATATATAAAATTTGACAAAAAAAATACTTTTCTTTAATTTATTCAATAGATATAGGACTTATGATTTTTAGTATTTAATGATTCTTTAACAAAAGCTACAAACCTAAATACTAAATACTGTTGGCCTTTCCAAAACTGATAAGTATGGTAGACAGGTTTTGTATCGATTTTGAGAGCGTATCAGATTTGAAAATTATCACGTGATGCCAGAATATTAATCCACCAATTAAATTGTAAAGATTTATTGGATAGCAATAGTAGCTAGTATATAGCACTAATGCTTTAGTTGTACGTTTATACATATATACAATACTCTAATTAAACAATCCTATAGTAATTAAAATACTAAATGCATACATACAACTATAAAGATTTATTGAAACTAGTACATAGCACTAATGCTTTAATTAAACAATTCTGCAGTAATTAAAATGCTACACACATACTGTATATACTGCATAACTATTTAATAAAAAGTTTTTACACGTACTTCTAATTAAATCAGTTTGATGGTTTTTTTAATTTTTATCTATCTTATAACCCGGAAAGGATATTTATATTTCAGTATTTGGTTTACCAACAGTTATTTCACCAAAAGTCTATTTAGCCAACATCACATAGAGTTGAAGTAAGCACTTGATTAAAACAGGTATTTATTGTCACTTGGTGTAATGTTGACTAATTGAGCTGTCAATAAAATGATTATTGGTAAACCTGGTTCAGTAGAGCTAACCTAAAGAAGTAATACTGATTAAAATAAAAAGAAGTAATAAATGAAATTAGATATGACCCTAAATAAGACCATGTTAGTATTCTTAGAAACATTATTTGAATTCTAAATTAGCTTCGAATTTTTGAGAGAATAAATGATATGATTAAATGCTTTAGGAATAAAATACATCTGCATTGTCCAAATACTTCAAAAATATAAAAAAGCATATTAAATAGGCAAAAGTGAAAGTTACAAAAAAATTATTGTTTTTGACTTACCTGAACTATTTTTACTGATCCATCATAAAAAAAAAATTTCTTATTGTAAGTCAGGATAACCAAAAAAAGTATGATACCCTAATAGAAATTTGGATTATCTTGTTCTTTATTTAAGCACAAGAAATCTTCTAATATTTTACCATAGTAATTAAGATTGACGCAAATATTTTTAAGGCAGATCAATTGAAAAGATCAAATTGATGTCTTTTATATAAAATCTTGATTTAAGAAAAAATTAAATAAAATTTGTACTCATTAAAGACTATAAATAAAAAAAATAAAAATAAAAACTTATTAGATTAATAATAGCTTAATTTAAAAATCTTGTTCTTTACTATTAATGCAGCTATAGCTACCATTATATAAAAAATCACTATTTGTTAACTTTTGTTCATCCAAATTGTATACTCTTCCAAATCTGCCATTAAAATGGTGAAAAAAAAGAACAAAGTTTTTTTAGCTAAAAACTTGCATAATGATTAAAGGAAAATGATATATGACTATTACAAAAACAATCTGATACTTACTCAGAAAGAACTTATAAAGTGGGCCAAAAATAAGTTTAGATTAGTGAAAGCACCAGGTCAAAACACAATTTCTAATATTTTAAAAAGAAAAGATGAGTTTAATGAAATGTTTACAAGTGACCTTGAAGTTAAGAGACATTGTGTTGTTACATTTTCTGAGCTAGACATTGCTTTGGCAAATTGGGTATTACAATATGAATAGAGGGCTATATATTTAAATAGAAATATGATTAAGGCTAAGAGAAAAAGATTAGCAGACATTGTGGAAATTCCTGAAAATGATTAGCCTGAATTTTCAAATAGATGATTATAGGCTTTTCAAGAAAAATATAATTTTTATTACTTTAAGTTGCATAGTGAAAGTAGTTCTGCTAATATTGCTATCATAAATCTAATATTATTAATGCTACTAACCAGTATTCTCTTTGTAATATTTACAATATGGACGAGACAGGTTTGTTTTATACTATGGCTTCTGATCATACAATTGTATCTTGCCAGATTAAAGAGTCAAAAAAAGACTATACAAGAATCATAATTGCATTTATAGCCAATGCAGATGGCAGCTATAAACTTCAACCTTTTATTATTGGGTATTCTAAAAAACTCAGATGTTTTAAAAAAAAATGGGTAAAAAACTTGGATTCTATTACCAGAATAATAAAAAGTATAAATAACTGCTATGTTTTTTCAAGAATGGATAGAAAAATTAAATAAAGAAATAAGAGAATCAAACTGTTACATCTTACTTATCCTTGATAGTGCCCCTTCACATATTACAAGTGCCATTAACTTGACTAATATAAAAGTACTCACATTATCCTCACATGCAACATCAAAAATCCAGCCCATAGATGCTAGTATTATCATATCATTCAAACTTCATTATTGCTACCTATAACTTCAACATGCGATTGATTATAATAAAGCTGAGAAAAAAGACATTTATAAAGTTGATTAATTGCAGATCGTAATATAAAAGTTGTTAGTTAGTTAGTCAAAAAATAGTAGTCTTAAAATTTTTTGTTGTACTTAAGCTAAATTTTGAGATCCATTTTTTAGTTTTTTTTTTTTTCTTTTAAAAAAGGAGCACAAATAAAGTTTTACTAACTTGTATTAAATTGCAGACAATAAAATAGACAAAGATTGCCTAAAAAGAAGTATTTGCTAAAACGATTAGAAGATGTTGGTTCTGCATAAGAGTTATATCTTCTCGTAATGAAAGTAAATATCTGTCACCTCCTTACTATTGTTGAAAGCATTGATGATGTAGAAGAAAATCTACCTTTTGATCTAAATGATGAATTAATAATCAAGGAACTTTAGCAGCAAATAGATACATTATGTGTTCATAATCCAATGCCAATTGAAGATTTACTAAACTCTGAAAAAGAATGAGAAGTATATTATCAATTTACCGATGAAGATCTGATTCAAATTGCAATGAAAGTAGAACAAGTAGAAGAAAAATTTGTAATACCAACCCTTACTGGAGAAGAACAATTAAATATTTTGTGTGGCATCTTAAAAATCGTGAATGAGAGAATCAATAATGGAGAAATAACAATAAAAGCCTTGCGCAAGCTACAAGCCTGTATTTGTGAAGAGGTTCAGAAAGAGAGGGCTGAGAAACAAGTCCAATGTAGATTGGATTAATACTTCACTTAAAAGTTTTTTAAGAAAAAAAAAATTGTAGATAAAAAAAAAATATTTATGTTAATAAATCTTTTGTAAAGAAAAATATAAAATTTTTAGTAATAAATGCATCACATATAAATAAAATCTTATTTATTGCAGTCTTTTAGCTTAATAATTTATGATATGATTGGCTGTTTATTATGTGACTATGTTTGACAAACCAGGAACATATATATTTAGATTATTGAATATTAGAAATGACAAGTTATTGGATATGAATGAAGAAACAGACCCGGTGGATCGATTTTTAACTGATTATAGTAAGATATCAGTTTTAATAGGATTGGTTTGAGGAGGGCCAACAGTAGTTTTAAAAGGATTTTACTTTAAAGTTGGTATATTTTTTATTTTTACAATCTCTGTAAAATTAAAATAATAATATAATTGGCTAAAGCAATCTTTTAAAAATTAAAGAAAGTTCTACTAAGTAAAAGTCTCTTCTAGTTTTAAAAAAACTTGTAGAGGAGGTTTTTAAAATCCCAACAGTAGTTAAATCATTCAAATCAGCTTGGTGGATTCCAAGATACTTGGGGTTAAAGGCACAAATATAGGGATCTGCAAAGTTACTGTTATACAAAGGATAATCGTCTAATAAATGATTGTTCTTCATATAATAGTAACTTTGCAGATCCCTATATTCACGCCTTTAACCCCAAGTATCTTGAAATCCACCAGGCTGATTTGGATGATTTAACTACTATTAGAATTCTAAAAACCCCCTCTACAAGTTTTTTTAAGACTAAAAGAGACTTTTACTTAGAAATTAAGCCCAGATAAGGCTTATCTGGGTAATCCATATAAGTATCCTTAATCAGGTTAGGGTTATGTTACTCAGGTAACCTGAACATGTTTCACATAATATCTATGTGACAATATCATTGGACAAATATCACAAAAAAAAATTTGTACCTTATTCTAGTATACTGCTTATTAATAATTTTTTTAATACTATATAGCACTATATCCTCCTATAATAGTACTCAACTAAATTAAGTCTTATTGTTGTTGTTTTAATATTTAGTAAAGTTTGCATTAATTATTTTTGATCAATATGGTTTTGCTTCTATTTAAGAATTATTTGAAATCTTGCTTTGATTTTATTTAAAAGTTAAAAAACTATTAAAAAAAATTTTTGATAAGATAGTTCTGTTTTGGATCATTAGTTTGCTATCTCTACTATCTATTTCATGATTCTGCATAGCCTTTTGAGATTAGCCTGTTTGGTCAATTCATGCAGGGGTTTTTTTTTTAAGATTATCATATCTAAAATCACCAAATATGAGGTATCCTTTTAGCATTTTCTTGTCACAGATTCAGCAAAAATGAAAAAATTTCTTTGTAACAAGTTTGGTAATTTTTATTACATAGTTGTCAAAATCATATTTGGTATGCTATGAATTAGAGTATCTGACTAATTTAGGCAGAGCTTAGATCTTTATTTGGATTATGCATTTCAAAGCTAACTGAATCAAAGAATGTAAATATATAGCCAAGACAGTATTGAGAAGATATAATTTGTATTAGATATAATAATAGGTTAAAAAAAAAATTAATTATAAATTGTGGCGAAAGCATATGATTCTCATTGCTAGATTATTGTTACAGGTTCTGTGAAGATAGAGAAATTCCTTTATAACAGGTTTGGTAATTTTTATTATATAGCTATATTTGTCAAAGTTATATTTGGCAATATCATAAATTAGAATATCTGACTAATTTAGGCAGGCCTTAGATTTTTATTTAAATTATGCATTTCAAAACAACTAAATTGTGAAGGATGTAAATGCATAGCCAAGACAGTATTGGGTTAAAGAAAAGATTGATTATAAATTATAGCAAAAGTATATAATTCCCATTGCTAGATTATGTTAATTGGCCAATACAAGAAAAATAAATACAAGAGTATAACAATATTTGGGAAGATGTGAATTAGAAAAATAGTATGAGAAATTATAATAGGTTAAAGAAAAAAGAATTATTAGTTGAGAAAAAAGTGAGATTCCAATTGTTGAATTATATATTCAAAGCCAACAGGTTAATGCGAGAAACATAATAGCATGTCTAAGATTGTATTTTGGGTTAAAGAATTAAGAAAATAGTAATAGCAAAATAGTTGTAATAATCTTAAAAAAAAAAAGATAGTATTTAGATAATTGTAAATGTATTTAAACACCATTTTTTGACTTTGAATAAATCTTCAGAATTCAGTTTTATAAAATAAATTTGAATTCAACTTTTTTAAATTTTTTATACTTGAAAATTCATAATTTATTGCTCATAAATCAACATTTAATCATATTTAATAAATCTATACTTTGATAAATTAAATATATTATAAATTATTCCTTCAATATTTTATTTTTAATTTATATAAAATACGATATAAAATAAAAATAAAAATGGAATCTCAAGGGTGTAGCAGCTTAGTGAAGTGGTCTAGCCGTCACCCCACCAAGCGGCAGGTCTAGAGTTTGAATCCCATAGATGACGTTTTTCGAAAAATAAATCTGCATTAGGTAACGATTATCCATCGATCGGTTGG